ACCCCAAGGAAATAATTCGTAAAGAACCTCGCAAGATCCTCAAAAAGTCACTCCTCACTGAAAAATCAGAGAGACTGAATAATATGAATCCGTCCCCACCCAGCCTATAAGGATATATATTAAAACCCATAAGACCTCTCCTCATATTCAGAAAAAGAAATTCAAAAAACGGTGCAAGAGGGGAGCAAGCACAAAATTACCTTTAGCAACAAACCCAATCTGGGTAGGGTCCGTATTAACACCAAAAATCAAAAGAAGGACACAGTGGATTGCAGCGGTGTTTACCAAATAAATTGCAAATGTGGTACGTGGGACAAACAGGAAGAAAAATTGGGACCAGGGTTAAAGAACCCCTAGCCTGTGCTTGTCTTCAAAAAGCGGGCCAATCGTCGTTGGGGGATCATTTAATAAGCGTAAAACATGACCCGGAAGCCACGGAAGTACTAGTAAGGAAAAAAGGCGCCAAAGGAAAGAGAATGAACCTCTATGAGCAATTTTACATTGAGTCCCAGAAAGGTGACAACCTGCTCAATAACCAACAAGAGAGTGAGGGGGCAGCACTGATAGCCCCTCCGATCCCATTCAGAGAAAAGTCGCTAACACACGTACACTCTGAATGGGGCGCCCGATTCCCTCATGCGGCCGGAACCGATTTCCGTCGCTGTCTATTGGATGCTCGCACACTAATGTTTTTGTCGAACACTTCAGTCTCAGCAGCATTTGTTAATGAAACTCTTACACTTGTTAACTGTACAACTCCACCTTTTTTTTTTTTTTTTTTTTTCATCCCAAAACTAAAAAGGCCAACCAAAAAGGAAAACCAAAGCTAACAGAAAACACAAAATGTGAAGAACAAGAGAAAATATAAGTAACCAAACCTATAATATCAATAAACAACATAAATAAAAATAAAGAGATAAATATACAAACTCTGATTTTTATTTTATTATAATGATAAAAATTGAACTTTAAACTTTATATTTTGTATTACGAACAAATCGTTATCACGCGCACTTTTATTTTTGTAAAACCCGATGCCACTTTCGCGGGACGCGTGAGACGGTGCGGTCGGGTACACTAAACTGATTTGGGAGGGTAAACACATTGCGGTGCAGTGCAGTGTCCAGCTTCGCTGCACTAAGTCCAGTCTCTAGGTGCATTGTATCAGCGTTATCTGAATTGCCGCATAAACGCACATTTCTACTCCTATTCTAAGCCACATAGTGCGGTATCAGGTGTATCCGGGAATGGTGAGTTTATTTTGGATCTTGATTATTTCGTCTTGCTACTTGATCAATTGTTGCGACGTTGCCACATATTTTCAATTTACTTCAAAGCCGGGAGGGAATCGGAAATCGGTTCCGGCCGCATGAGGGAATCGGAGGAGGGAATTGGATGGCGCCCTCCGAATGTACATTCTGGCCTATTGCGCATGCGCGGGCATCGAGAATGTTCCTCATTTTGTTCACTTGAACAATTATAAGTCACAGGAATGAGTAAAAGATCATCGGGGGTATCTTCCGCTTCTCGTCAAACTGTACATTATTTTTCAAGAGAATGATGAGTGTACATTCGCGATGCCCGCGCATACGCAGTAGGCCAGAATGTACATTCGAAGTGTACGTGTGTTAGCGGCTGTATGCACCAACAACGAACGGGCAGCTCGATGACGCAACGGCCGGAAAACAGGTGATAAAGACGCGTTCGCGGCCACTTGTGCACCTGCGAGTGTTTTTATTACTGTTTTTAATAAATTTTAGTAAACATTTTTGACAATAGTATACAATATGACTATGTGTTTACCAACCAAGTGGCCTGAAGATGATGTGTACGCACCATCGAAATGGCTATCGCCTAAAATCTGAAGACAAGCAGTGATCGGGAAAAAGGTAAAATCATCAAAGATAAAATGCATCCCGATAAAAAGAAGTTCAACTTTAAATGCTTCAAAATTGTTGTTATAGTCGGATTACTTCACTGTGTTGTTCTTCATTTTGTTCACTTCGCAAGTTTTTTTTCCCTCCAAGTATAACGACGATGCGTAGGTGTATGTAAATCAGTACCATCAGCTTTGGCGGTCGTTTCATTGGATCTAGCGTTCTGTGCCGCAGCCACTGAGCCATATGCCATTGAATACCGTCGCAGCGATGGACGCTGAAGACTGGATGTAGTGACACCAGATGTCTGGAAAACAAAGGAGCTTGGATTTAGAGTCTAGACTCTTCTGAATATTCACAGGAAAAAACACTCTTAATTCAATCCGATTTTTCCCTGGATTGAAGAGCCGAGCCTCTTGATTTAGGCGGATTTCCTTTTGATTCAAGCACAAAGTCCGATTGAATCAAGAGCATTTTTTCTTTTTGATCTTTTTAAGAGTCTAGACTCCAGTTCCAAGGGACTTTTTCCCAGTGAGAACGACAGTTCGTCACCTTCCAGGCAAAGTATCACAAGCGCCATGCGACGTTTAAATATTTCCGCCGCCATTTTATTTTTTTACAGAGAAATTGTTCAACGAAGCTGTCCGAAAATTTCACCGAATTTTCTTTGTGCTGCCGATAAAATTTAGTGAAATTTCCAAACAGATTCAACCAACAATTTCTCAGTAAAGAAATAAAATGGCGGCGGAAATTTTTAAACGTCGCATGGCGCTTGTGATACTTTGCCTGGAAGGTGACGAGTTATCGTGGATAATCAAAGAAAATGATCGCTCTTGAAGATGTCGCCAGTATTAGGCGAAGGAATTCAAGGAGCAGCAGTGTGAGGTAAAGCGATGTGTGAACACTCGAACGCTCCCGATATATTCGAGGAAAATGCGAATTTTCTAGATGATATGGGATTGTATCATTGAAGTTTTTAGGAAATTGCAATGGAACGCGGTTTTTTAAAGAACCAAGATAAAAGGCATTCATATAATTTTCTTCGAAAATATACATTTTATTGGGAGAAAGTTGGTATCACTGGAATATCCATTCTCATTGGGGAAAAACTACGGATAAAATCACCATTTTAGTGTTGTCATGGGATTGTATCTGCGGTTTTTTGCAACTGAGGATACTTCAAGCGAAATTTGTAAGCTACAAATGCGACGAAATCACGAAAAGCTTCCTTCTCAATTTCATCTAGAATTACTCTTTCATCCTCTGGGCGCTCATCTTCTATGAGTCCTCTTCGCCACCACCAGTTTCTTTCACTACTTCCTCCAAGTTGGCCATCTTTTCTCCAGTTAGACACGTGGCACTGTCAGGTTTATTAGCAGTGTTAAGCGCGGTGTGCATACGCCGTGCTTATCGGCCAGGTTGCGTAAACCCGCGGCTGATGCATGTATCATCACCCATTGAATCGAGGGTAATTTTAAAGCCGTTCCTGTAGCGGGAAGGTAGTTGAAATTATGAATCATAGCAAACTAATCAGATCATTTAAGCTGTTGGATCACTTGATTTAATCGATCCCGTATCGAACTGAGTGGATTTTTCATTACTTGATTTGTTGAAATCTGTGAATCATTTCGCAATTCCCTCTTTTGTTCAGACCAAACTGACGTTTAAAATGTAAACTGAGTAGATTTTTCATTACTTGATTTGTTGAAATCTGTGAATCATTTCGCAATTCCCTCTTTTGTTCAGACCAAACTGATGTTTAAAATGTTTCCGTAAAATTACACGTGCGAGTATGAAGAAACCGTCGTCTTCGGTTCGATTACTGCTAATTGGTCAATACCTTGATTTGAGCGTTTCTGATTGGTCCATCGTTTGCGGAATGTTACTGTGCATTTAGTGTTTTCTTTTCCAGCAACTGAGTTGTCATTATTTTTTGGCGCGGAACCAGTTCTTGCACTTTTTCTCAAGGTCTTCGTAGGGGTTAGAAGGTTAGTCTCTTGAGTTGGCTCCATTGTATTTTGTCCCTCTAAAAAAGCGACACTTGAATGTCTGCCAAGGCTGTACTTTTTTACATGATTCTGGATTTCCGTTGGAAGTAAGTCATCGTTCAGATCACCAGCTTTTCTTAAAAATGCCTAAAAATTCTCAAGACAATCTTGGTTCAACCTTTCAGTCAGGATATAATCGATCCCATAGGTTTACTTTAATTATTGATACATATGTATAAACCTCTAAGAGCATCAATGGAAAATAGGACTCCCCTTTGGCAAGGTAGAATATCTTTAGGAATCTTTGGTTTAATCTCCCTCATATCCTTTACCATCCGATACATTTTGTCAAGAGCTTCATTTTGTTCTTTCAAGTAGATACCATATCCGCATAGTTCCTTTTTAGCATCGAATTTGTTACTAGAATTGAAATCGTCAAACCAATCGTTTGTCGTTCTGATATATCTTGCTGCTGCTGCGTAGTTCCTGTATTTTAATTTTTCATCGTCGCCACCTTTGGTTGCCACACCACTGGGTGGCATTTGCGACACTCTCTGATAGTAGCCGCACAGTAGTTTGCACACATTGCCGCTCATTATTCTTAACATCGATGTGTTTTTGCCTTATTTTGTGTCAGAACTTCCATATTCTCGTGTTTAGCTGAAGTAGCTAAATCTAATCATGACCATATCATTCGTCCAATCATTCGTCATGACTGAACCATGACGCCATAAACCATGAATTCATTCAACCCCGTTTACTTGTTGAGTTTTCTCATAGGGACAGGTGTGAAGCTGGTTGCTGGTTTTGGCGACAGCTATGCATAGCTCACAGTTTACAAGAGACTTAATTCCATTCTAACCGATGTTTTTGTTCCTTAAACTCTTTTATAGCTCAAGCTAAAACTTTTACTAGTAATCTATTTGTTTGCAAGATTGTATATCAGTGATACGTCGATGATCCTCAGAAATCGTGATGGGGGCAGAAACGACTGTTTTTTGGGGGAGACTCTTTTGAATTATAACCTAAAGGCTAAATTATCATCCAAGAATTTTTTCAAAATGTTGGTTTTATTCATGAAATTTTATATCCACCTGTTGGTTAAAAAGAAGGGGAACAAAATGAATGAAGAAAATATAAAGTGGAACTAGTCTTGTATATTTTGGCTTTCAATTAATTAATGTTTTACGTGAAGAAATAAAATACATTTTAAATTAATACCAAAATAAATACGTATACATCAAGTTGCGGTTGATACACTTTTTGTTAAAGCTCGCCTGTCAAGACTTCTGTTTCTTTGACAACTTAATCGCCGTAACAACCAGTAAGTATTCTACAATCTATTGGAAAAATCAAGATTTTTTAATTTTTGTTTGAGACTCTTTGAAAACAATGAAAGAAAGAACAAACCTACCTAAACAATACACATTATAGATGACGAAAGAAATTAAAATTAGAAGTATGGATACAATGTCTAAACAAAAATATTGAAACATAGTGGTATCGGCAGTTGCTGGTCTCAAATGAGACGCTCCAGTCGTATAAGCTATTACCAAATTTAATTGGAAAATTTAATTTTTTAATTGAAAACGGTTTTGCGGATTTTCATGCAAATTTCAGTGAATTTTCTCCACAGTACGAAGCAAATTCCATAGACATTTCAAAGGAATCCCTGCCAACGTTCCCTCGTAAAAACTTAAATTGCCCACTTAAATTCAGAAATAGCTGATGAGGCTTGGCTCCCTTCTGTTGAACGCGGTGCAACTAGTATTCTACAATACGTTGGAAAGATTAAGATTTTTTAATTTTTGTTTGAGACTCTTTGAAAACAATGAAAGAAAAAGCAAACCTACCTAAACAATACACAGTATAGATGACGAAAGAAATGAAAATCAGAAGTATGGATATAATGTCTAAACAAAAATATTGAAACATAGTGGAATCGGCAGTTGCTGGTCTCAAATGAGACGCTCCACCATGCTTAGCCACGTGCTCTACCCAAAAGACCGCCTGGTCCATGCCTTTAGAGGTAAAATCCCGGGATATGGAGGAATGTCTCTTCATATTCTTGGAGTACCTGAAAGGTTTCAATGTTGATTAAAGAATGCTTCGTGTTAAGACAGTAAGATGAAATTTCTTTCAGCTAACCTGCTCTTTAAATCAGCATAAAGCTGAAAATCTCAATATAGAGGGGAAAAGTTCATATGGGCACAATTTTACCCTAAGAGAGATACGCCGTTTGGTGCAACATCAGTAACGACCATTCAGGAAGGCAACTGCAGAAGAGTTTCGGGTCTAACTGGAGCCATGGTGGTCGTTCCTGAATGGTCCTTACTAGAGTTGCACCAAACAGTGTTTCTTCTTGAGGGAAAATTGTGCTCATACGAGCTTTTTTCCCTCTTTATTGAGATTTTCAGGTTTATGCTGATTGTTAATGCACGTTGGCTAAAAAGAATTCAACCTTACTGTCTTACGACTCGAGTGTACCGCAATCAGTTTGTAAATGCCTGGTGTTAGTGTACGGATAAACGTATTTTAGTAGTTCCGAGACTGTCAATCGATTTATACTCCCCGCAAAGTCTTGTATAGCTAAGAGTAGATGTCTGACAGTATTCACTACGCGTCTAGAAAATCTACCGGACGTCTGGTCCTCACTGCTAAGGAATTAAATGGATTGCATTTTCCAATTTGGAACTTTAAATTCTGGCTCTTCTGGAAAAACACTTATGTGCATAGGGAAACTAAAGGCGCATACGTTGTTTTTAAACCGGGCTAGAATTTATAGTCCCAAATTGCAAAATGTAGTTCAAATATCGGTCGTTACTCTTCCTGTGGAGCATACATTGCTACATAAACACGACCTTTTTCCTTTTACGCACTACGACCTTATAATTTAAAGAGGGCAAGCTGATGTATTCTTTTTTAATTCAATTGTTGTATAGCTTTGAAAACTCAGATAAGTAAAGCGGCGGCACGATTATTCCCGCTATCGTGATATCACCGTCTATTGGACTGTAATGTGGAACTGCAATGTCTGGTTCACATTTTTAAACCACACAGCTGCCTAAAGAAATCAATAGTATATGTGTCGTTTTCGAGATGAGCTAGAAAGTGCAATTCCTAATTGCAAAATACGAAACTCCAGTTAACGTAAACCGGTAAAAGGTTCCAGAGAATTTACGAAGTCTTGCATTGTATTCCAGTGCATCTCTGACTTCCGAACTCTATATTGCGTTCGTTTAAAACTGTATATGCTGGACTTCGGTGTAGTATGCAGCGCTCCCAGAATGCATGGCGACATAATCGTAGTAAATTCATCAAAATATCCTCATTTTTGAGTAAGTAAGTTAATGGTCTGGTAAAATATATCCACACGGTGAAAAAATTTCGTGCGTGGGACCCGAAGTTGAGGTCGGATGGATCTCTGAAGTTTTCGGATCACGTGTCCAAAAACTCGAGGTCCAGCTGCCGAAGTTTGGGTCAGAGATCTGAAGTACTTTGATAGGGTCGAAGGGTTCGTGTCACACATCTGAAGTACTCTGGTACATACTGAAGTGCCTCGATGTCTGACCCGAACTTCGGCAGCACGACCTCAAGTTTTAGACACGTGATCCGGAAACTTCAGAGATCCATATGACCTCAACTTCGGGTCCCACGCACGAAGTTTTTTTCTCTGTGCACGTTCTCAGTGTAACTACCCTCTTCGGCGCTCGATCCTTTATTTGGACGAATTTCTATCAAACGGAACTATGTGCATTATGACGTGAGCCCTGTTACGCATGCATTCTTATGGGTCTCAGGGCTCATGTCTTAATGCACATAGTTCCGTTTGATAGAAATGCGTCCATTTAAAACTATGAACCTTCATCCTCTACGGAACCATATCTTACCTTTCATCGAAAAGCACTGCTTCAAGGGCGGCTTTGATTTTTTCGTACGCGTGCAGATCCTGTACTTCCAGCTTGACCCCTATCCCAGCGTCTACAATTTTTCCGACGTTGCAATCTTGGTCACCGGAAAAAGGAATTCCAACTAAAGGCACGCCGTAGTGGACAGCTTCCTGGAAACTTTGAAGGCCTCCCTGCATAATGTATGCTTTCAACTTGGGGTGAGCTAATGAAAAAAGTAGAGCATAGAAAATGGTTACATTTTGAAGGTTTAATGAGTTTGATTTATGTAAATTTTTATTGGTCATGCTGTGGCAAGGTTTTCTGCAGGTTTCTGCGTTGTGCGTTCTCTTACGTAAAATTTCGTTAAAAAACCATACAGTTCAATGTAAATTTAAGAAAGTTTTTCTGAGGGAGATAAAGCTGATAAAAATTCAACCGATCAAATGTCGACAGTCGAGTTGACGTGCAGGCTACGCTTGAACATGAGTTCTACGAATCTGGCTACGCTGTTTTTCTAGTTTGGCTACGTCAGCGCCCTCCAAAAATATCGTTTTTTTACGGACGGGTCCCATTTTTGAAATTTTCAAAACTCCGTACTTTCAGAAAATGAATTTTCAAAAAAATGACCGTCATCGACCCAATTTTTTTTTTTTTTTTAAAAAAAAAGAGGACATTTTTACACAGGAATGCTTTCAGATTTTTGCGGGATGATCAATTACGAATAACGAGATGAAGTTCTGTATTTTGAGCCAGTATTTAAACGCGTCAAAAGCCAAGATGCTGTGTCTGAAAATATCCGCGCCACTGTAATCTCTGTCTGTATGCCGCGACTTACAAGGCCTGGTTACACGCTCAAATTTCCGTCAATTTTAGATCAATATGATGGCGGTCAAATTTTTGCAAGCCGCAAAAATTTGATGGTAAATGGTGCGCACCGGTCACCATTTGATCGGAAATTTGAGAGTGTACCCAGGCCCATAGCCCGTTCAGTTGCTCTCATTTCGACAGCATGGATATTTCAGACGCCATCTCGACTGTCTGGACAATGTATCTTGGAATAAGATCTCGTTGGTCATTTTTATGAGTCCTGAGTTTTGAGCGTCTTAACTAAGAAAGGTACCCGACAGGTTTTCGCACTGATGACCCTGAAACTCAAGTACTGAGACGGAAATATAAGCTGTAGAAGAATTCTTGCTCGATAAGATTCTATACCTAAAACGCTGTCCTGTGGCAGCCATTTTTGTGTCAATATGTTATCTGATTGTCCGGGAATTTCTCCATCCAATTCCCACTTCCACACCACTCGGTATTCCGGGTGCTCCCTGAAGAACCTCAAAAAGTTTGACCTCACTTCAGCAGGCAGCGATTTGCTCTTGACATTGCTTCCGAGGCTGAAATAAATTGCTCCTTTTTCTGCTCCATCCAGCCAGTCTTGAAGTCTCTGTTTAATGGAAATAATAGTTACTCGAATTTATGTGCAAAACGTCATTTTTCGGTAAATATTTTTTCATGAAGTTTGAGTGCGGCACACCGCGGCACGCGGCGTGCTGCCAGCTAGAAACGCGCATTGACGCCTACAAACCTAAATGGATACTTCAAGCATTGCGCAATGCATGAAGTAGCCCTTTAGGTTTGTAGGCGTCACACACTGGAACGAATCTTAGGTTTGCCCGGTTATGGACTTCCTCCAAAACTTCTCTCAGCTATGTCTCTCATTCCTGTCGGAATTTCAGACCAAAATGACTCATGAATGCAGTATTCTCATCGTAGAATTTGATTTTGACCTTATTTTGGTCGATTTATTGGCGTAAATGCATATTTTTAGGCATTTTAATGAAACATTGCTCGGGATTAGTGGAAGGTGTCATCGTGAATTTTCTCTCCAGTTTCATTCGACCGTTTCACTCGTCTCTATCAAAATTTCAAGTTGAATATCAAGTTATATAATGTCTTTTATCGTAGTATTCGATTTTGACTTAATTTTACAGACTTATCAACACAAACATTACTTAAAATTAACATTACAGAATTAATTATTGTGTACACAAAAAAATGCCTTGATCTTTGATCTTGATCAATAGATCTGATTATCGTGCAGCTGTCCGTACTAATCATTTAAAACTAAAATAGTTAGAACATATTGATTTGATAGATAATGATAATACACTGGGATTTCATAAAAAAAAAAAGTCTGCACTTATTCACTACATACGGTTATTACGGTTTGAACACTATTGACACACACACCAAAAAAAAAAAAAAAAAAAAAAAAAAAAAAAAAAAAAAACTGGAATATTCCCATCATTTTCTCAATTGCTATCATCATCCGTTTCGTCAACTTCCGCGACCTCTGTTTCCTCTACTTCTTCAAGGAGGTTCTGCTTGAGGTCGATAACACTATCATCATTGTTATGAGGGACCATACCATGAGGGCAGCAGCCTCAGGGTCAAGAACTTTGCGCCTCTTACTTTTTGAGTATTTGTATCTGAAGTGGGAGATTCGAGAAAGATACAATTGTTAAAATTTCTGAACTTGAATTTCTTCAGTTTAGAGAGAAAGAGTAATTTATGTTATTTGATTAGCTCATTTAAAAAAAATAGAAGTTATGGCAAATATTCTCTAATATGTTCATTGACTGTGCCATTTATTACGTTTACTCTTTTCGTAAGTAGTAATGATGAGTATGAAAATCACAATGCTGATGAGAACGAGAGTGCACAAACGCACTATCACTTAAACTTTTTCAAAAAAATCCACCATCTCGGGTTCGCGGCTAAACATCAACTCCTTTGATAGCCATTGGTCAAACTTTTTTAGAAAAGCTTCTTCTTTTCTGGCAGCACTTCGCCATTTTTCCACAAGAGATTGACAAAACCGATTGCACTTACTTTTACACAGACCATCGACGACAATTTTATGTATGTATGTATGTATGTATGAGCCGCTTTTACGGCGCGCTAGGGCGCTCTGCGACGCCTATTCTCCACAGGAATCTGTCATGGTAGAGATCCTCCGGAAGGTGGCATCGCTCCATCTCTTCATGGATGCCCTCTACCCACCGTTTGGCTGGACGCCCTCTCCGTCGCCTACCTGGGGGGACCCACTCCAACACCTTCTTCGGCAACCTGGTATCAGCCATTCTCTGCACATGCCCATACCATACCAATTGCTTGGTCATGATATCGTGCACAATCGTCCCCTCAACGCCCATTATCTCTCGGACACGTTCATTCCTGACACGTTCTCTCCTCGAGATTCCAGCCGATCTTCGCCAGAAATCCATCTCGGTCGCCTTGAGCATTTCTTGGGTCCGCTTCTTCAACTGCCACACTTCACTGCCATAGGTGATAATAGGCTTGACAACCGAGTTATAAATCCTCTTCTTGTTGTCTTTGGAAATCCTTTGGTCCCAAAGGATCCCATTAAGCATGGCGATGGCTTTCCTTCCTAGAAGATTACGGTCCCGAATGGCCTGATCCAGCTTCCCATCCGAAGTCAGGTTCACCCCCAGGTACTTGTATTGTTCGCAACTTTCTATATGTTGACCATCCTCCAGGACTATGCTTCGCTGAGCACCTCCGACTGACATCTTTTTTGTCTTACGGACACTAACCTCGAGGCCCCATTTTATCTACTGTTACCATTTGTTTAACGTCGTCGGTAAACTGTCTTCTCTCAAGCTAGTTCTTATGCATATATCAGCGACCTCGCAGCTTTGTAGGCTACGTTTGATACTTGAGGTGATGCTACAGCATCGCGTACGGAGAAAGCCGGGTAGTGCTGACCGATTGTGAGAGGCCTTTCTCCCAAGAGACAAAAGTTTGCCGTAAGTTGTGTCTCAGAATCCAAAGGTCGAATATTGTCAAATTCGGGGACATTCCCTTCAATCTTTATCCTTTGTGAATAGGCAAGGACAGTTTCATTGTGGCCTCGGTCACATATCCTCATTTGATTCTGGTCATTTGAGACCAATTGAGCCTTAGTCCCCTCGGTTCCGAAGTCAACAGCTTTTAAGTAGTATTTTGGACGCAAACCAGCTAATGCGTAAGATTTTCCTTTTATGGCCTCGACATCATCATTTAAGTCGTTAAAGGTAAAGTTGGCTGGTATTATTTTATTCGGATTTAACAAAAGTGGATTCTGTGGAGCATTGTCCCATTGACAACCAGGAATAGGATTGTTTTGATAAAATCTGATCCTCTCTGCTACCGGTGTGGCAGCCAAGCTCAACGCCTCAACTGTCTGGCGGAGATTGGTAGCAGTAATGTTTTCGGGTCGCGGTACAAATCTTTCACCGCCTGCTAGTGTATCCCTTGCATACATGGGAAAGTATGACACATCAACTTCCTTCACTACTCCGATTTGGTTTATTGGACGAGACAAACAATCTGGAAGAGTGATATAAGATCGGACCACATTCTGGAAGTCACTCGACAGGAAGGGGGTGTCGAAGGATAGATTATCACGAATAGGAAGGTTGAATGCTTTCTTGAGGCCATGCATTTTGGCGTGGTGTGTAAAGATTGCCACTCGATAATACTCATAAAGAGTACCTCCAACGGGAACACGGTTCGGAGGCATTTGCGCCAGAGCTGTAAATATACATGCAACTCCAAAGCCCATCTGACGGGTAGTAATGGCGATAACGACGGCACGGTTGGTATTGTACGACTCAAGTCTACTCGCTGCATTTTCTCCTGTTTTCACTCCAGGAAGAAGTTTATATGTGAGGTCGCGATTTAACGCTTCTTGCAGATCTTGGTTTTGTTTTGACCGATGGCTCTCTTGTCGGTTACTCGAACGACTGCCTTTGCTGTTGGTGTTGGTTCGCCGACCACCAGAGCGTTGATGTTGTCAATTTTATGTTCACTACGTAAAAAGTCAACCAAAAATGCACTTTCACTTAAACTTTTCCCAGCGTCCCAGAGCTTTTCAAAAAGCTTAGAATATGAAATTTAAAAGTCCGACATAGTTCAAAGGGGGGCAGGCTTTTTACTCGATTTTTTCTACATACAAGAGCAAAAAAATTGTCTCGAAAATGAAAATGAAATCACGAATTATAACAATCTACACAAACCGTCGTCACTTTAAACGCACCTAATCAACACGTGAAACTGAATAGTATAACCTCAAAACTGATTATTTGATGCATGATTACTTACCTTTGCAATTGTTTGCACCAGATTCGGGTGGCATGGCATAACAGTTTTTGAAACATGATTTGGCATGAAAGATTTCCCGCGCGGAAGATCATCGTATCTCAAATCGTACAATCGAAAATCCGCATCAGCCATTTGCGGCTTATGTCGCGCCTTAAGCAACCCTGATTATGTTCTCTTTTACATTGACGTCAAAATAAACGTTGTTGCTTCTGTGGGCCGATCCTTTTAGGATGCATAATTTGGAATTGGTGGAAATCCTGTAGCGAAAGGGTTCTTTTGTGGATGCAGATAACAGCTTATTCCCCCTTGCGAATTCTGTCAATTTATCGAAAATTACATATGGCAGTACAGATCTGGGAGCTAAATTTCGGATTTCCTCCCCTGCGGGGTGGGAAACTGTCTGTAGTTGCGGGAGACGCAACCATATTTGCTGATGTTCAACAATGCAGTGTAGTTTTCGTTATGTTCACAATATTACTTAGATAAAAGTACCAAGCCTCAATCCGCAAGTCCAATCCGTGTAATCATCGGAGTAAGTCGGTTAAACAACCCGGGATATTTGCGTCTGGGAAAGGCAAATTCTTCAAAGCTTAAAGAGGGGGAGGGGGGTACAACCGAGGTATCCTTGGCAGAAATATGTTGTAGTTGAAACCATAATTAATAAATGAACCTAAAAACAGGAACGCTTTAATGTACTAGAGCCCAAGGTGGTCAAACCGCCTGAGCCACCTGGCTTTATCAGACAAAAATCAATATATTTCGCGAATATGCACCTATCTGCAGCCAAATATGGCTGATTATCATTCTCAATAGATTACTTGAGCACGCTATATGCACTTTCTCGGTGAAACGCGGTGATTTTTTTAAAAGCTTGCTCTAAGTTCAATTTTCATCTTTTTGAAGTAGTTAACTTTAGAGACACGTGGTAGCCTTTCAAGTTGATATATTCTCAATTATTGCCAATGAAAAATGTTCCTCAGAATTTCAAAAATAATTTTCAAGCATCAAAAGTTACATTATTAAACCTCACAACAAAATACAAGGGTTGACAATATTATGATGGAGAGAGACAATTTTAGGAATAGCAGAATGTGCTACATTTGGAGAGCTCTAGGGAAAAAAAGGGGCTAAAAAACTAAAATTAAATGCCAGATTCTCAAAATATGAGTCTATAGGAGCACTTTAGGCCCACTCCGGATCCAAAATGAGCGACACCTCCATATCCGACCTTTTGCCCATTCCGTTCCAGTGTGCGGCGTGCTGCCAGCTAGTAACGCG